GTGTGTGTGTGTGTGTGTGTGTGTGTGTGTTTGTGTGTGTGTGTGGATATTGTTTTATTTGGGGGCATATTTTATAAGATTCTTTTCTTCTCTCTGCTCCTTCTCATTCAGTGATATTGTGCTTTTTTGTTTATTTTTAATGTTTTTTGTTGTTTAACTTAAATAAATAAATAAAAACTAATTTTACAGATAATAAACTCAGTTTTGGCAGGAACTGAGCTTCATCCTCAACACATGCCAGTAGCATTTCTGTTGATCTGTTCATAAACTCTCAGAAATTAATTATTGACTTTCCATCTATAACTGATTCWCTTTTAGAGTTAACTCAGTTCAAGATGGCCACCCCAGCTAATGAAGTCTACATACAAAAACCTATAACTGAGTGAGCATTAATGAGCTAAAATTTGAGGTGGTAATAGCTGAAAACAAAGCACTAATAAATAGCATGAAATCACAAAAGCTATTATTGCATCTAGTGAGGTTATTATTTTGAAGGTTTGACCATAAAACTAGAAAGTGTCGTTTTTTCAACACAGACTAATGTAACCAATCAGCACACCTGTTCTCCATCTGTTCTCAGTCATCATAAAGCATTTGTTACTGAAACCTGGAAATCAACATTTGTCTTTTATTTCTCTTTTGAGCATTTCTTGTCCATTTAAAACTTTTTAGGTGGGTTTACAAAAAAAAAAACATCACCCCTTCAGTTAAAACATTCTTGTATTTCTTTGAGGTGAAACGTCAAGTTCATTCTGCAACAAATCCAAATCTTTTCCAAACTGCTTTACTTTGACGGTCACACACGTCCACCTCCATCAGGTCTGTCCACTGTGTCTCACTGCTGCTCAAATCCATGATGATAAAATATTAAATGACACGAACAAAAACGTACATCTTGAGTTCCTGCAGTTTTTATTTGTTTATTTCTAAAAACAAAACACAGATTTATTTCTGTCTGTTGACAGATTCTCAGCTCTACAAACCCCACTCTGCTTCTCTCGGCATTTATTTCCATCCTGCTCTTTTTTTGCTTAAAAAAAATCCTCACATTTGCCTTTTTGGGATTTTGCCCTGATGTGCACCCCCACCCCACCCCACCACCACCACCACCTCCTCCTCGGCTGCCTTGGATGGGGGAGATGCTGCTGTCCG